GCAGGTGGCTCACAGGTCTTGTGTCTTCAGAAGTAACAAAATCGGGCGTTGCTTTGAAGTGCTTTATCTGTGGGAAGTGAAATCTGCCCCTCTACACCCAATAATTTCATTTTTTATCATCCTATTATTCCTTTACAGGCAACCCTGCTGCCTGCCTTTTGCTTCTCCTGCTGGCCCTGCAGTCGAGCTTTGTAAAATTAACCTCCTCTTTCCGTCCTCTGCCCTCTCTAGCTGAACTCCTTATTTGTACTAGAAAAAATTGCAATTTTTTGATATTCACAGCTTTATTCCCTTGCAGCAGTAGTCTGGGCACTGATGTAAAAACAGCATTTTAAGTCTTTGAAATCTGCTATTACATTAATTCCATGGGGTTTTGCCATGTCCAAAGAAATCAATGCCCTGTTTGCCTCAAGTTCCAGGGGCATTTTGGCAGCTGATAAGTCAACAATGTAAAAGATCCGTAGAAAATTACTAAAAGAAGGAATATAACAGATCAAGTTACATGGAAAAGTGTCTGTAAAGTAATAAAGGTTTACAGGTAGATAATTTTGTACGGAAAGAAAGAAGTTTCAGCTTCTGCAGCTTCTCAAATATTACAAAACACAGATTTTTCAGCAGTGTTGTGCTGTTTGAACTGTGCTTTGTGTCAGGAGATTGAGATCTCTCCAGTGCCACAATCCTCAAATGTGAAAAGAAATTATATTCTCCATTTCTTTAGATTTTACCTCTTTCTTTTTAATCCCCCATCCTGCCAGAGGATGGAGAAAGAGAAGGAAACTCAGGGCACCATGTCCAGCAGATTCATCTGCCCTTGCTGCTTTCATGATGCTGCTGTGGAACGAAAGCTCAGGGCTATAAAAACGCTGACTGCCCGTGGATTATCCAGGTTTAGGAACTGTAATAAGCTGTCACTCTGCTAGATTAGGATCTGGGTCTCAAAATCAGCAAAACCCCGTGTCCCAAGACCAACTCTGGGGAATTTCCAGCATTTCCAAGAGTGCAGAGATTTCCAAGAGAAAATCTGGCGCCCATATTAAGGTGGGAGATGAAAAAAGGTTTGGTAATTGTACAGAAATGTGGAGCACAGCACCAATTTAATTGTGTTTTCTGGGGTAAGTTCCTCTGCTCCTTAGGCACATTTGGGAAATAAACTTGGGAATCATTTCCCCTGTGCTTTTCCCCTCCAAGGTGTAAAGGTTTGGCAGCTGGCTTCCAAAAGCAGCAGAAAAACAGGAGCCGGCTGAGCAATTTGTAAATAACTGTTCAAAATATCTGAACATTCTCTCACTGGCTTGAAATTGATGACTTTTAAGGAGCAAAAGAATCTTTATTTTTGTGGTGGAGCTTAGCAAAACTCAGCTGATTATCCCATCTGAAAGACAAATTGAAATTTTTCGGAAAGAAAAATGCATCCAGGCACTGTTTATCCACACTTAAAACCTTAAAGCATCACTTTTTGCTGATTTTCCTCTCTGTTTATGCTGAGCTGACAGCGGTGCAAACCCCCGGCGGAGCATTCCAGAGCTCCACGATCCCAAAACGCTTGGAAATGCTCTTTTTTTTCCCAAATTCCTCACTTTTTACCTGCCTGGGAGCTCAGGTTAGAGGAGCCATTCGAGGCTTTCCCAGCAGATGGCAACAGCTCCTCGGTGCCTGGGAAAGGGGATTTGGCCAAAGAATCCTCACCCAACACTTTATAAATTTGTTTTTACAGGAGCCCCTCTAAAGCACCTCCAAGGATCTAACCGTTATTTTAAGGCAAAATAAGAATTAAATTGTACTCCTTAGGAATTAAACTCCTCAGTTTTAGGGTCCTGCTTAGCTCTGCTATGGACTAAAAAAACAGATTGAGGAGGTTAATTAGAGAATCACAAAATGGTTTTGTGTTGGAAGAGACTTTGAAGATCATCTTGCTCTAACCCTCCTGCCATGGGATGGTTCTGTGTGCAAATTCAGATGAAGTGACAACTTCAGAGCGCCAAAAAAAAAATTTTAATGGGCACACTGTAATTGCTTATTGATTTCCCTACCCCATATTTCAGGCTGTAAAATAGAATTATCATAAATAGACATCTATCTTAATCTAAGTATGTAACCAGCTCCCACCAAAAAAAAAAAAAAAAAAAATCAGCATTTGCAGAGAAGAGAAGTAGAGAATCTATGTCTTAGGATTTCCTCCAGCTAATTGTTCTCGTTATATTGTCATGCACAATAAAATATAATTAAACTAATAAAAAAGCATTGAGGCCTAATATGCAAATGCTGGGCCTGCCAGGAATCAGATCTCCCAGGAGCTTTCCCCTCTCCAGGCACAGTACTCGATGTTCCCAAAGTTAAAAGCAGGGAGGGATTTATTGCAGAGAAGATGCAATAAAGAGATATATAATAAATAAATATAGATATATGGAGGCATTCAGTCACTTCATCAGCACTGATGACTCTATTGCACACAGCTGCAGAAGGAGAGGCAGACGTGGCTGCTTGTCTGGCACTCCCACACTTTATTTATTTATTTTTTTTCCCCCCAAGCCTCCGTTTTCCCCAAAAGGAAACCAAAAAAGGAAGTATAAATGTCCTGCGTATATATGTGAAGTATCATGTAGAAAAATGATTTCATCCCACGCTTCCCCTCTTTGCTCTGAACTCCACCAAAACAACAAATTCTTCGGGCGCTCAGACGGGCTGCTGGCTTCCTGATGCACGCGGCGAGCAGGACACAGCTCCGTGTTCCAGAGGTACGCTCCTGGCCCAGCCAGGGATCTGCTCCCCACCTGCCAGAGCCTCTTTTCAGCCTCTTCCCAAGTCCAGTGTCCTGCTTTGAAGTATATCCCGGCAAGATTAATTAAAGGGAAGAAGCGTGGTGTCCTAGATGATTGGGATTAGCTAATAAGGTTATTTTAGTCTGCTGGCATTTTGCTGGAGGAGGCTGATGTTCCATAAGTTCCTTTGTGCAGAGGGGCAGGAATTACTGGCAGTGGAGATATCCCGCTTTTCATTCCACATCTGTGCTGCTCACAAGCTTTCATTTCTGGAGGAGTAGCACGGAAGTTTCCTGAAGTCCTCAGGTGGAGATGTTATTTCCAGGTGTTTGAGGACAAGTGGCTTGTAGTGCCAGGACAGGGGGGAATGGCTTCACACTGACAGAAAGTTGCTTTAGGTGGGATATTAGGAAAAAATAATTCCTTGTGGGGGCGGTGAGGTTGCCCAGAGAAGCTGTGGTGGATCCCTGGAAGTGTCCAAGGCGAGGTTGGAGCAAGCTGGGATAGTGGAAGAAGCCCCTGCCCATGGCAGGGGGTTGGAACAAAATTATCTTTAAGATCCCGTCCAGCCCAAACCATTCTGGGATTCTGTGCAGACTCGAAACAGGAATTTCCCTCTCAGACTGTGTTGTACATGAACAGCAGGGAGTTACAGCAAGGACGTGTTTGTGTTCAGGCTGCGGCTGAGAGAGGGAAATCCTCACCTGCTGAAATTTAAATGCCCCAACACCCCGTGTGGCTCATCTTTTGGTACTGGAAGTTTTGAAGGGGAGCAGGAACAGGCCCTTGGCCGCAGTGTTTCTGGAATGTTCGTGCAGGGAGGGATCAGTTCTTGGATTTATGCTGCCCTTAACCTCCGAGAAAAATTCCCTTTGAAACTTGTGTGGGAAATGTGGGGAACGCGGGACTGGACAAGAGAGCCACGAAAGGCCTGGGAGCGAGCAGCACAGCCTGAGGCTCCGTGCTGCACAGCTCCTGCCACTTCTGCTCTTTTAATTCGCTGCTTATTTATTTTCTTTCTGCTCCAAGTTTCGCCGGTGTCATATTTTCCATGGAGATGGAGGCGCGGGCGCTCCCTGCCCTGAGCGCTGGTGACACGGCAAAGTGTCGGATGGCAGGGGATGGGGGAAAAAAAAAAAGGAAAAAGGGAAAAAAGGGAAAAAGGGATAGAAAGAAAAGGGAAACCTCCTCGGGTTAGGGACGCAGGGGGATGGGGAAAAACGGAAAAAGGGAAAAAGGGATAGAAAGAAAAGGGAAACCTCCTCGGGTTAGGGATACAGGGGGATGGAAAGCTGTTGGGCAGGGGATCGGGAAAAAAAAGGGAAAAAAGGGATAGAAGGAAAAGGGAAATCTCCTCGGGTTAGGGACACAGGGGGATGGAAAGCTGCTGGGCATGGGATGGGGGAAAAAGGGAAAAGAGGGAAAAAGGGGTAGAGGGAAAAGGGAAATCTCCTCGCGTTAGGGACGCAGGGGGATGGGGAAAAACGGAAAAAGGGAAAAAGGGGTAGAGGGAAAAGAGAAATCTCCTCGGGTTAGGGACGCAGGGGGATGGAAAGCTGTTGGGCAGGGGATCAGGAAAAATGGAAAAAGGAGTAGAAGGAAATGGGAAATCTCCTCGGGTTAGGAAAACAGGGGGATGGAAAGCCGCTGGGCATGGGATGGGGGAAAAAGGGAAAAGAGGAAAAAAGGGGTAGAGAGAAAAGAGAAATCTCCTCGGGTTAGGGAAGCAGGGGAATGGGGAAAAACGGAAAAAGGGAAAAAGGGATAGAAGGAAAAGGGAAATCTCCTCGGGTTAGGAACACAGGGGGATGGAAAGCTGGGACACAGGGAGCGGGAGGAGCGGCCGCCACCGAGCGGAGACGGGAAGAGAAGGAAACAGCCCGCGGGTCTGGAAAACGCTTCCCGAAGGGGAAAGGCCCGGGCAGGGACCGGGGAAGGGCTGCGAGAGAGGAGGAGGGGAGGCAGGGAAGGAGGAGAAGGAGGAGGAGGAGGAAGAGAAGGAGGAGGAGGAGGCAGAGGAGGAGGAGGAGGAGGCAGAGGAGGAGGAGGAGGAGGCAGAGAAGGAGGAGAAGGAGGAGGAAGGGAAGGAGGAGAAGGAGGGGAAACAGGAGAAGGAGCAGAGAGGGAGGAGGAGGAGGAGGAAGAGGAGGAAGAGGAGGGCGGGCGGCGGAGGGATCCGGCGGCGGGGCGGAGCGGCCGGAGGTACGAGCCCCCCGGAGGCGCCGGGGAGGGGCGAGCCCGGCCCGGCTCGGCTCGGCGCAGGCTCCCCGGGACGCGCCGCTCCCGCCTCTCCAGCAGCGCAGCAGCGGGGCCGCCACCGGGCCGGGAGAGCAGCGCGGCGGGGCCGGCAGCGGAGAGCGGAGAGCAGAACAGAGCGCAGCGCCCCGCGGGGTCCCGGGCCCGAGCGAGAGGCCGAGCGGCGGGGGATGGAGCCCCGGGCCTAGAGGCGGCCGCCCTGCCCGACCCCTGCGGGCGAGGGCGGGCGGGCAGCGGGGATGGGCCCGGCCGCGGGCGGGGAGCGCCGCCCGCCCCCCGAGCGCAGCCCCTGAGCCCCGCACGGGCCCCCCGCGCTCGGAGCATCGCTTCTTGCCGAGGGTTTCTTTTTTTTCCTCCCCCCACCCGCGTCCACCACCGAGCTTGTTTTGTTGTTTGTTTTTGTTGTTGTTGTTGTTTTTGGAGTTTTTTCTTGCTGGAGTTTTTGCTTTATCCCCCACGCCCCACTTCCGTGGTTTGGATATTCTGGGTGACTGCAAAGAAGAGTTTTGGAGTTGTTTTGGATTGGGTTTGGTTTTTGTTGGTTGGTTGTTTTTTTTTTTTTTTTTTTTTGTTCCCTTCTCCTGCCCTTGAACTGAGTTTGTCCTCTGTGCATGCCTCTTCTGGAGCAAGGCTGGATCCTGAACCTCGGTGCATGTAAGGGGCAAAGCCTCGTTCATATTCCTGCAAGAAGAGTAAAATGTAAATTGGATAATACGACTTCTTGCCAAAGGCTCCAATGAGTGGCACACAGTCCACAATCACGGACAGGTCAGTATAAAATGAGATTCCTTGATTTTTTTTTTTTTTTCTTTTTTTTGAAGTGTGACTACTCGCAGAGCTCACGTACTTTGTGTTCTGGCTTCAGTGACAGACGGGATCAGAAAAGCAGGATTAAATCAGAGGTTCTGGGAGCCGAGGGTGCCTTGACTGTCAAAGCGACTGGGTTGACTTTGAAACCGGAGTATTTCAAGTCCAACAGCTTTCAGGCCTGCCAGGCTGACTTTGTAGGAGCCAGGGGTGCTAACTCAGCTCCCAGGATGGGCTGGTGCTGCGGGGAACACCGAAAGCAAGGGTTCCTGCATGGAGCTGGAGCAGCAGAAGCCACCAGAATTTAGTATCCAGCTCAAGCCTGAGCTCAGAGAGCGTGTTGAGGATGCACTTGGGTCTCCTTGGGTCAAGTACTGCGGAGAGGTCACTCCAGGTGAGGGCAGGAGGGAGAGTTGACAAGCAGGAATGTCTGCTGGTGTCTACCTTAGCAGGAACCTGCCTTCAGATACCTGCTTGAGCCCTGGGCTGCTCTGCAGGTGCCTTTCATTACCTCTGCAGTTCTCTTCTTTGCACTGAGGTGTTTCAGAGGAAGGGGAAAAAAAAGGTGGCAAAAAAAAAAAAGTCAAGAAGGAAACATTTTAACATGCTTTTGAGGCGAATGAGTGTCTTCAGATTTTTTTTGGATGGGAAGAAAAGATACCTTTTTTGACACAGTATGCTGTAAGAACCATTTAATGTGGTTTTTTTGTATCTGTATGGTGTCTGTCGGGTGGTTAAGGTGTGAATGTGTGTGGCAAAGGCCTCGCTTTGGCCTTTCATGACCAAGCAGTTCTGGCACAGCAGCGAAGCTGGGGCTGGGATGGAGCAGTGATGCTTTTGGGGACTTGAGCTCACCAATTTTAGGCTCCAGGTGTGGGCAGGAGAGAGACTGAGTGTGGTTCTCACTTAAACCCAGGCCTTTTCGTGACTCCACAAGTCCTCTGAGACAGCCCAGTCCAAAGGGCTCTGGGACAGCTCAGACTTGTGTACAATCTGTGTTTACAACTGTTCACAGAGTATTCAATCTTGGCAATTAATTCTGTAGTTTGTACTAGGGGAATTTTCTCTTTTGCAGGGCATGAATGATTCTTGGGTTGCAGGATGTTTTTCTCTGTAGCAGGCGAGGCAATGACAGTAAAAAGGCATTTCAGTGGATTTGTGAGGATTTTGTTACGTACTTCAGGCCATATGTCTTGTGGCAGTTGCATGATATCAAAAAGAACGACAGGATTTTCATCCCAAGGAGCAGCTGAGTGATGCACGGAAAGGAAAAACAGGAGAACAGGGAATTTAATTTACTTGTTAGTAGAACAAAATACTTTCCATTATTGAATTGGAGCAGCCGAATAAAAAATGTCTCATTTCCTTTTGCTCTCAGTCATGTCAGGAGGATGTTTCTGTTTGGTGTTCCATTAAGGTTTTGGATCAAAAGGCTTTTAATGTCAGGTGAGGAGCTGTCTCCACAACCCTCAGATTTCTGGGATGGCTGGGGGAATGTGGAGAAACTGGATCTCTTCTTGTCACTATTTTTTACCTCTGGCCTGAAGCAGCCCCAGCTCTGGGGTGCAAAGTCATGGTCGTGGTTCTGCCAGGAGAAGAGAAGCTTTGGGGTGACCTCATTGTGGCCTGCCAGGACCTGAAGGAGCCTACAGGGAAGATGGAGAGAGACTATTTTGAAAGGCCTGGAGTGACAGGACAAGGGGGAATGGTGGCAAACTCAGAGTAGGGTTAGATTGATGGGGAGGATGGTGACAGGGTGCCCAGAGAAGCTGTGGCTGCCCCTGGATCCCTGGAAGTGTCCAAGGCTGGAGCACACCTGGGCAGTGGAAGGTGTCCCTGCCCATGGCAGGGGGATGAGAACGAGATGGGATTTAAGGTCCCTCCCAGCCCAAACCATTCTGGGATTCTCTGATGATTTCTGGTTTATTCCCTGGCTGAACCTTTCAGCAGAACCCCAGATGTGCTGGTGGTGTTTGTCCCGATTTCTGTCATTCCTTTTCATCCCTGGCATTGTGCAGGATTTGGAGAGGATGGGTTTTGATCCCTCCTGTCCCTGCAGAACATTCCCCTTTCCCTTCAGGCCCAGGGAGTCTCTGTGTTGCCTTTTCCAATCTGCCTCTAGAGCTTAGAATGTAAAGCAGGTGCAATATAAATAATGATGCTTCCACTGTCATTAGATCTATAAATCATCTGACATGTTCAATTCTCTTTGTGTTTGTCAATCACCTTCCTTGGTGGGATTGAGATGGGAATTGCCTTAAACCAGGAAAACCCAGTTTGCATCCGTGCCAGATGGTATTAGGAATATAATAGGGTAGCTTGGGCCTGGATTTTTCTCCATATTAGCTTTACATATTTGCATTTTGCATATATAGAGCTGCCTAAATCCACATTATAGACAGCAGATATCTCCTTTGCTATCCCTGCAGTTTTTAAAGTAGTAATGATTTGACAGCTGTCACATTTCCCTTGTGCAGGTTGCACTTGTCTCATCCTTGACATATTTTATCTCTCTTGATGCTGTCATGATCACCATTAAATATATAAATTAGGAGTGTATGAATGGCCATTTCTAATGCTGTTCTGGAGCCAGGATGATAAATGATGTTTTTATTAAGTCCCCTCCTTTTTTTTTTTTTTTTTTTTTTTCCCTTTTCTTTTATTTTTGTTCTCTTTCCCAGGAAAGTTGAATGGATTTTAGTGTCTGGCACTGCTGAAACACAGTCAGGCCAGTTCATATCTGAGTGTGTCTGGGCTCATTCTCTCTGTGGACTAAACCTTAACCCAGTTAGTTTGGTGGTGGTTATGCTCAGATTCTGTTATCAGAGCTCCCAAAGCAGCATCGATTTCTGGTGTCTTTTTCTTCAAGTGCCTTCAGTTTGGAGGGAAGTGAGTGCCTGGGGAGTGGGGGAATATCAGGCATTAAACAACAAGGGCAGAGCAGATGTTAAGGCTCCTGAGAGTGTAATGGCTCTTCTGAGTTGGTGGAGGAGCTCCTGACACTGCTCCCCCTCAGCATTTGGGGGAGCACCTAAAGGGTGCAGGCAGCCAAAAAATTATCTCCTAAAGAGCGCTTGAGGCTTAAAAACACATCAGCAAAACGTTCTCCAGGGTAGCCGTGGTGCCTTGCACGGCTGCTGATGATTTGAGAGAGTTAAGCACTGATTTAACTTCCCCTTCTTCCCCTCAGGATGTTCTTTCACTTTGTCAGCTGCTTTTTTTTCCATAGTCCTGGTGCCCATTGGACTGTATCACACTCTTCATCTCCAGCCTTATTGCTCCGCTCCTTTATGTTTGTAAACATTTACACCCTCATAATTTAATCCTCCCTTAGCTATGCTGTGTTTTCAGAGGCCTCCTAAGGTGGCATTTATCTTGCTGAGCTTAGTAAGTCTTTGAGGTAGACATCCCTGAGCTGCTCATCTGGCTCGACTCGATCGTGAGTGGAAGGAAATCTGCACATCCAGGGGACCTTTCTTATCCTAAAGGTATCTAAAATCAGTCAGGTGACTGAGCTTCATCCAGCTCTGGATTTAGGTAAGATTTCCCGTATCTTTTAACCTGAAAAAAACCCCAAAATCTATTTTTGGCTCCTCACCGGTGCTGGGTTGGATTTTTGTTGCTGGATGCTGTTTTTTGGCGGGGTGGGAGGGGGGGATAGCAGATTTGCTCTCCATCTGTGAGCAGCTGAGGGGTGGCAGGCAGCTGGGCAGGGTTTTTTGGAGGAGGTTTCCTGTTCCTGCTGGAGCGTGCCCACATTCCCTGCCTCTGGAGCTCTGCTGGCCGGACACTGGCCAGCTCTGGGCGTTGCTGTGAGCTGTGCATGGCCGGCCACACATGGCTGGCTGAGATAAGGCCTTTATTCTTCCCAAGGCCACGCTGGGGCCAGCCCGAAATCCTGAATTTCGGCCATTTCCAGCCTCTGCTTGGCCACCAAAGGCCGGCCCGAGCTCGGCTGTATCCTGTTATGACACTAAAGAAACATTTGTGTGCCATTAATTTTTTTTCACTCCCAGAGTTAACTGTATTTTTCTTCCTGTCACCGTTCCAAACACACTTCAGGGTTGAGCAATTGCACGGCTGCAGGACTTGCTTTATGTTTCTTTCTGTTTATTAAAGGCCAATAAAAGAAAGGAGGCTCTTGCTTTTTGCAGGACCTCGCTGAGGAGCTGGTGACTCTTCTCTGCAGTTGCTTGCAAATGAGTTTTATTTATAACCCTGCTGTAGTTTCTGTTGCTATGATTGGAAAACAGCAGAGGTAGAATTTACACATAATTACCCTTGAGAAGTTTTAATTGGTGATTTGCTCCTGACTTGGTATTAAAATAGACTCTAATTGTTTCTTATCTGCTTTAGATGCACTTTCCCTGTCTCTGGCTCTTTGGAAGTCCCTGTGGTAATTGGGAATTCTTTGACTGTGTGGTGGTAATTGGGAATTCTTTGACTGTATGGGGAAAACAGGGTTTTATTTCTTGCAGCAGGGTAAGAACTGCACAGTAAGTCACACCTTAGTGTCACTGACTACTTTGGTGTCATTATCATGCATTTTTTAAATTAGTAGAGTCAGTAAAATCCGGTATTTATGGAAAATGGGCTGCAGCATTGTATCTAAGGATTAAAAAGAATAATAGTCTTTGAGTGGGGCTTTTCATCATTGTGCCTTCGCAATGTTTGGAAATTAGCAGTGGACAGAGTCTGTGCATAAATTCATGTTTTATTCTGCTGTTCTTGAGGCTGGCAGGAGAGAGGACTGTCTGGGGTGTTCACTGCTGCCTGGGACACAAATGCTACCACTTCATGTTGCATAGTTTATTAGAGCTTTTACTGGAGACAGGAGCTGAGGTGAGCTTGATTTTCTAGTTTTGAGTAGAGCTGTGGGCGTTGTGATTATTTGGGTGGAGGCAGGAATGATATTTCATCTGTGAGCCCAATTGTATAATTCTCCCTGTGCACAGAACTCC